TATAATAATTTGTATCTTTGAGTATCTATATATATAAAAATAAGTTGTCCTATGTTCGTGATTTTATAACTCGAGAACCACTCAACCGATTTTCAAACGAGTACATGCGTTGGAAAGGTCTACTTTCACTGATGGTTTATAAAAAAAAAACATCGAAAAATTTCTACGAATATGCGTTATACGCGCACTTTTATGATGGTGTTAAATAATGGCTATTATATAAAGAGAGAGCCGATTTTTATGTTCGCGCAAAACTCAAGACCTATTGAACCGATCTTCCTCAAATTTTGACACGTTATTCGTGCATACTCTAGGACGGACATAGGCTATGTAGCGTGTCTCAGAAGCGCGTTATTAACATGTAATTTATATGCAAAGATTTCATGCGTACGACTGTTGGCAGACCACGTGACCCCTGTATACGACAGTCTACTTGCGCGCGCATGCGCGTATTCGGCCCGTGCGATACCTCGCCCGTAGCAGTACTGCGATGTTACCGCCAGGTGGCGAAGCTTCTCGAGCGCTTTCTCGCGAGAGAATTGCATTATCGCGGATATATATGTCAGGACGATCGTCTGGTCATAAATTGCTTTTGCACAAGGTCGGGCGAAGCCGAGATGGGGAATGCTAGTTTTTTATATTATTGCATATTAAGTGTGTTCTGTAGATCTTTGAGAATTCAAATTTCCCATAAATGCATAAACATACGCAGTCTAGTCATCAGACTCAAAATTGTTGCAAGTTGGAGTATCGCTGAACTTCTTCTGTTTTTGTTCCCGAAAACTTTATAAACGTCTCGCGATTCGGTTCAATTACGCTTCGTTGCATGCAATTTCATTTCGACACGGTGCGCAGATGATGTTGCAAAAGCTAGATTTCTCACGACGTCGGAAATAGTTGTTCTTTTTCGTAATTTCGTGTCCGTCCGAAGGGCGTCTCCTTGTACTCGAGTAATCAGGTTCGTTTAAGGGAGAACGAATTTCTTCCTTTTACGTTACCCTATGCAGACTTTGAGCGACTACCAGACGCCGTGTTATAAGTCAAAAGCAATTACTTTTTAAACGCTCGCGAGTCAATTATGAAATTTCTTATTACACATTTTTGTAATAAAAGGTGCACGATCCAAGCTTTCTTATTTACGTTTCAACGCGTTCAATCTAAACGGCATTAAACTTTTATAAATTCAACCGGCAGTTTTTCATAGTGTTTTAATAAAAACTTCAAAAGGTCGAGTAAAGTGTCCTGAATTGAACATTGATGGGTCGTTGATCGATGTTAATTAAGTTTGCAAGAATACAGAAAAGTATTAAATAAAATACAAATTGGTATGATGAATTGAATGCAATTTCTTGAGTAATGCGAAAAGTACATATATGCAGCCATATGCCTACTACAATATTTTCATAAATCGGTGATTTTTGAGGGAGTGAAAAGGTCCTGAATTGAACATTGACATGTCGTTGATCGAAGTTGATTAAGTTTGCAAGAATACAGAAAAGTATTAAATAAAATACAAATTGGTGTGATGAATTGAATGCAATTTCTTGAGTAATGCGAAAAGTACATATGTGCAGCCATATGCCTACTACAATATTTTCATAAATCGGTGATTTTTGAGGAAGGAGTGAAAAGGTCCTGAATTGAACATTGACATGTCGTTGATCGAAGTTGATTAAGTTTGCAAGAATACAGGAAAAGTATTAAATAAAATACAAATTGGTATTATTGCCAATATAATTGATACCTACTAGAATATTTTCATAAATCCATCGAGTGATTTTTGAGGGAAAAGGTTGGTAAGGGTGGTATTTAGTTTGTTTTCTTGGCCGAACGGGGGCGTTTGTAGCTGTCGTTGGTCGTATGTAAATGCGCCTTAACAATAAGTAGAACATGGTTGGTGTTTGCTCGGTGGAAACGGGACGAGCCTAACTATAGCTTTATTCCCACGAAACGTGATATATGTGTGTATCTGTCCTGTGTAGCCAGTCGATTGCGTGGCGTATTCAATTTACGAAGCCTAATTCTGCCAAGTTGCAGATATAGGAAAGGGGCGGATCGACGAGGGAAAACCGCACGTGTCGTTCGTCTCCAATATGGGAGCGACCCACACCATGCCCGTAAAATCCCCCCGGGTGTAATTTGTGCGGCGATAAATATCCGAGGTTTAGGCGAGCACAGTCAGTGCCGCCGCCGTACGATGATCGAGAAAAGCTCGTCGCCTCATCCTCTCTCGTCACTCGACAAATCAGCGCGCGATACGAATCGCGTGAAACTGATATTTATTTAAACATTACTTAACAAACCAATACACATTTAATTCACGAATATTTGTGTCATAAAAAAATTAAACGTGCCAAATTGCCTACTTTGTCTATGTCGCGTCAATTATATGCTTTTTACGTTGCAAACTTTACGGGCAAATAATTGTTAATAACAATGGAAACATAGCTATCATAATAACAGGTAAATATTTACTAAGAATGAGCGGAGTATATACGAATATCTATTATTATTCTGAAACGTAAATATTTGAATATAAATTTATTACATTGGAGGGGAAGATGAGTTGTTGATGAAAAGGTTAGCTCGCTGTTTGAATCGGATTTGTAATAGAATAAATTTAGAAGAATTTGTTTTTGCAGTTTTTGTGATTTTGAATTTTTATCGCGTTTGAATTTATTATATTCGCGCGATGTTTAGTCTTAATTCCAAACGCTGAGAGTGCTGAAATCGTGTTCCGGACTGAACCGATAACGTTGGAAGTGACACTGAAATGATAAAAGGGGTTTCCCCAATATATACGTATAAAATATCTAATTCTAATTTCAGCTCAAATCAGAGGTTCAGGGTTCGTCGAAAGAAAATAATTATGTCAAGAAAATATAACAGAACGCAGACAAAATAGTTACTACATACCACATTATGAAAAGAAATACGTAAAAAAGCATACAGAAATAAATAAGTCCAGCTTCATATTTATAAAATCGAAGTAATTTTAAATAAAATAAAAATCAATTTTTATTCGAAAATTGTTCCCATTTGCTACTTGTGGAAGTGTGTTAGCGTAAGCTTGAGATAAAATTCTTTGCTATGGATGATACTTTGATTTGGGGGGACGAAGCAGAGGCTGAAATTATCATTCATTCGGCGATCTAAAATTCGTTCGCTCTTTGTTTGCTTCTTTACATAAAGCTGGGAGCGGAGTTACTCTGGGTCTCGGTCGATGATAATTATTCTCGTAAATTCAAGCATAAATGCAGGTAGCTAGAGTGGAAACGGGGTGAAGGGAATTGGTAGGTTAAATGCTCGTAATGACGTCTCGTAATTGCATCGAAAGTTCGCGGGGAAACTGTAATTATCGCACGGCTGCAATTTCAACGATACCATCGGTTGCGTCGCGACAATTGACGGAATGACGACCGTGACGGGAAATACTTTAGCGAGGGGGGTTTTTTCAGACTCTATAAATGGGCTGATCTTATTGGGGGAAAGCGACAAAATATCGTACAAAAATAATCGAATTAAACTTAACGAATTATCGAATATAATTTCGAATTCACCACGGAACACTCATCCAAAAGAAAAAGAAATTAAACAAATTTTATAGCCAAAATATACGCCACAAGAGTTTCTTACTTTTATTTTATAGTTAATGATACGTGTTTCAGAGCAGTATAAACTTGTTCCAAATAAACATTTTTCAATGTACAATGTGTTATATTTCTGTTCAAATTAAATCATTAACAAAACTTGAAAATTTATCAAATTTATTAAATTGTCCCAGTCTCTACAATTTTTCTTCGTGGAGAAATGGTTTTCGTGGCGGAAGACCAAACATGCTCATATTCGTAAGAAACGATGAAATATGCTTCTTTACTTGGCGAAATGAAACGTGCTGTTTCCCGCAAGACAAATGAAACATGCTACTTTTCGTAACGCGCGTTTATACGTAAGTTTTATTTATTTTTTCTTACCCCCAACAATATTTATTTAACGTTCTTCGATATCAGTTTCGTATAACATTTACTGTAAACTCTTCTATCGTATCTGAACGAAAAAATATTTTTTCATGGTCGAAACGTAATTGTAGTTCACTCTAAAATGTGAAATAATATTTTTATTCTTGAAATACTTCATTTATAAATAATTGAAGTTTAATATTTATGGATACACGAGCGATTTAATACGTTTTGCCTGCAATGTCTGACCATTGCTTGATTTTTCTACTTGCACTGATATTTAAGTACCCTGCTCCATATGTAATCAATTTTTAATACTTCGAAAATGTGAAATAGTTCTCTAAACACGGTTTCAATAAAATATTTATAGACTTCTAGTCTTTGAGTTTAAAAATTCTTGCATCAAAGTGCAATTAATTCCAATAAAATAAAGAAATCGATTTGAATCGCGGTTTTAATAATGTGCTACGCCAATACATAAGTAATGATGAGCATTCACGTTGTATCAGACACCTCATCTCCGGCAATCGACGATTAGTCGAAGGATTGATCGACTGGTTGTGCTGATTTGAATAATTTATTCGTATGATCGACTATATTAATATTCATTATTCGGTCAATATCTCGATTACGCGAATCATCGGTACTTGGATAATTATCTAGGTAAGCATTCATTATTCGGGCACGCGAATGTAGCCGTTGATTGATTTCAATTCAACGCACGCTGATATTTTCCTGCATTTCGATAATTATAGTTTCCGAATTAACGGACACGACATGATTCTTCGATAATTAATTATTTATTTTTAATTCAAATAAGACGAAAATCTATGCAAATGAAACTGTTACATTCTATGCAATTGTAAATTTTTTTGACAATTTTATCTCAGAAGAATACTAATTTTCTTAAAATTTTATACAATTGTGTACAAAAGTTTAGTTTCCTTTGAGTGTTTATGGCAAAAATAGAGTGTAACAGGGGAGTTATTACTAAAATTACTGGAAAGTTAACTTTACATATTTAAGATTTCTTTCACTTACCCCGGTAAAAGTCTTGACATTATGCAGTGCATTCTGCGCGTCCAGGGCTGCCTTCCTCGTGTAAAATGTTACGAAGCAACATCCTGCAATAAAAGGCATAATGTTTCGTTAAACAACAATTTTATAAAGAGTATAATAGTAATAACAATAAAACACTTCCTATGGTTACAGTGCCCCTTTATTTTTATAGGGATATTACACTCTCTGCAGTTTGCATGTGCACACGCTATTTAAATAAAGTACACATACTACGAGTTACATATTCACCACATAATAGTTTCGTACTTGACCCGCAACTATTTTAATTAATTTTAACAATTCGTTGTGTTATATAATTATATTCGGTGTTAATGAATCTGGAAATGTTTGTCAAAATATAGTAGCGATTGGACGACAATTAGGAGGACGATAATGAGGCCATTAATAAGATGGCGTGGATTCTATGTACAAAAGGTTTTCGCTTCATGGGCTTGACGACCTAATTTTATTATTATTTCCAATGGAAATTTATTATTTGGAATAGAAGATTTGAACAAAATTAATTTTTTTCTATTTGAAACTAGCATAGTCTCTGGAGGACACACATTATATTTCTGGAATTTTAAGGAATTTTTTTCTCGCAAGTGTGTAGGAATTTCGGGGTATGTGTGTTCACTAAAAATGATTGTAATTAACCCCCACGGCTGAAAATAATTTTTTCAGAACGATTTGAAATTTTTTAAAAATTTAGGCACCTACCCCCTGTCGATTTTTCTTGGAAATTAGTTTTTGATTTTTAATAATTTTGTTTGACGTCCTATAGAAAAGTTTTCTAATACTTTTCTGTAGGTACACATGAGCTCTACTACAGAAAAAAGTTTCATTCAAATATATTCACTATTGTAAAAGTTATGGACGATTGAAAATTGGATCACTTTTATGGGGTTTCTCTGGCTTTACGGGGTTAAGGAACAACTTTTTGAATATTATTAAGATTTCTACATATTCCTGGCTTAAATACGCGTTGTTTGCCTTTTGAAACTTTAAAATCCTTCAATCCGTTCGGAAGTTATGACGTTTTGAACATACAGATGAATTTTCAGTAGAACATCTTAATAATGGTCAGACATGACATTTTCGGTAAGGAATTTTTTTCTCGAAAATGCGCAGGATTTCGGGGATATATCCGCCCACCAAAAATGCATGTAACTGACCCCTGCATCGGAAAATAATTTTTTCAGAACGATTTGAAATTTTTTAAAAATTTAGGCACCTACCCCCTGTCGATTTTTCTTGAAAATTCGTTTTTGATTTTTAATAATTTTCTTTGACACGGTATAGAAAAGTTTTCTAATACTTTTCTGTAGGTACACATGAGCTCTAGTTCAGAAAAAAGTTACATTCAAATATATTCATTATTGTAAAAGTTATGGACGATTAAAAATTGGATCACTTTTATAAGGTTTCTTTGAGTTTACAGGGTTAAGGAATAACTTTTTGAATATTCTTACGATTTCTACATATTCCTGGCCTAAATACGCGTTGTTTGACTCTTGAAACTTCAAAATCCTTCAATCCGTTCGGAAGTTATGACGTTTTGAACATACAGATGAATTTTCAGTAGAACGTCTAAATAATGGTCAGACATGAAGTTTTCGGTAAGGAATTTTTTTCTCGAAAATGCGCAGGATTTCGGGGATATGTCTATTCACCAAAAATGCATGTAATTGACTCCCTCAAACGATAATAATTTTTCCAGAATGATTTGAAATTTTTTTTCTTTGTCGCCAAAAAATTTCTATCCCTCGTCGATTTTTCTTAAAAATTCGTTTTTGATTTGTGATTACAAGATAGCTAAGCATCCGTGGAGCACCAGTTTGCTGTCTGATAATACTTATTTGTTATTTTCAATCTTTCAACCGTAGGGGAACCCCCAAATAAGGCTGGTCAGTCGATCGCGGGGGATTCCCGGGCTTGTGTATTACTACAGAATCCCATTACCATTTCCGTGTCACTGGCAACGTTATCAACAGATTTAGAAATGAATTTCGATCCCTAGGACGGGTCTCCATTCGCAGCAACCTCCACGTGGTGAGACCTGGGTAATATTATTTAGCGTTTAATTAATAATCGTATCACCTCTAGCTAGGTAATGCAATTATTAATTAAAAACTAAATAACATTAGCAAATTGGCTGCGATCCGCCTTGCATAGGTCATCATAAATATAGAGCTTCCTCATTAGGTTAGTTTTGATTCTCATTGATTCATCAAAGATTCCAGAGTATTGTAACAGATGAGGTACAGAAGTAGATCCTTCATCCAATGTATTTTTGCGGCCTATTTTTATGGGGTCTCGAAACCCCATTACTATTTTCGCGTCATTCGCAACGTTATATGAGTTTTAATCTCTTCCATAGTCAACTCACATGTATTTTACACACACACTACAGCTGTCTGCCCATCAACACTAATTCAGTGAGTAGTATCCCAACTGATCGCCATCCTTGAGAAGAAGACGCTAATCACCTCCGAATTTTCATGTCGGTATAGTCAAATTGGGCCACCAAAATCCATGAGGTGTGAGGTCTACATGTACACCACGTCTGTGCATACACTTCTAGACAGATTATCAAGTATATCAGCTTAGAAATCCCAGGACCAAACGTTACCCTCTCCTTTCCTTTTCTTTCCTTTTGCCATCTTGCATACGTAGAGAGTGTATAGAGTTCGATAAATGCGCTATAAAAGAATGACGAAAGTTGCTCGATGCGGCAGACAGTGAGAGTTTGTACCGATGGGTGACACGTCTGATACAGAAAAGAGTCGGTCCCGACCGGGGGTCGTTCTTGGGAAGCTCATCAAGGGGTTTCCGGGGGTATCCCTTCGCTGTCGCAGCTGGACACCGCCCAAGCCAGATTGGTCGATAGTTTCGAGTTGCCAAAAGTTCGATACGCCGTTGTATTACTACCGGTTCCCCCGTTCTCTTTGCCGATATACCATCTACAGTCGACTTGGATCGGTGTTACCTCCGCGAGGCGGCCATCCAAGTGGTCGTGAGAGGACGTAGGACGGAGGACGAGGGGGGGTGGACTTAGTCGGCGGGGTTGCTGCAACCAGCCCGCGTTTAGTTTACGGATAAGGCAGCTGGGGGATAGATAGTAGCCTCTTTCGTTCCGTTCACGTAGTCGAAGAAAGTCTACGGTTCCAGGCTGTGTGTACGCTCGCCCCGAGAACTTTCGAATTCCTGCAGGAACTTGCATTACCCCGAATGATCGAAGCCAAATTGCTTCTACTTTGCACAACGGGGGGAAAAGCTAAAGGTTTACGGGCTCTAGTCAGAGGATCGACTTCGATATTTGCAAAACGTTTGATACTCGACGACCCTGGACAAAACACAATTTTTTCGATCTAATTGATACGTGGGTGGTTCTAGAAGTACCTGGCCTGAGGTATAGATGTTGGGTACTTCTAGGACCACCCTTGTATGTTGCTTGTTTGTTACATCATCATATCGTATGTTACAAAACTGTTAATAAGGAAGAACATATTTTACTCTACTTGGATCACTGTGCACAAGTGAGCTCAATTCTGAGCGACAGAATTTTATTTATTTATTGATTTTTTCATGCACAAAATTTGAAATCCAATTCAGAATTTCTCAGCTCGCGATCGCTTATAGCGAATACATATTTCGCATATAGAGAGGCGCAAGGTACAGTGAGAACGAGCAGATGAATTGTTCAAAGTACTTGAACGTTGTTGTCAACAAGTAATGTTGGTGTCGATCTTAATGAGATATTCAAGCTCGAGTTATCCAGCTCTTCGTCCTTAGTTTCGCAACTATCGAATTGTCACGTTACTTTTTTCACGTTATAATAACTATGGTAGGAATAATTTGATTGATCAACTTGTAATCGTTTTGCAACGATGTATCGAGCGTGTAATTAAAAAACACGTAACCTAATACCGCGGTACGATATTGAACTTCTGCTGGTGCTTTCACCTTCGTCTCGTCGATAACGATCGAGAAAAGTAACAGAATTCCCGTAAGCAAGAAAATGAGAAACTTGATATTTTATCCGATAACGTCTAATGGACATACCAGACAGGTGTTTCGATGGAATCGAATTCCACTCGAGAAAGTTACTCTGAAACCGTTCTTTTCACTAACATTAATTGAGTAAAGAAATACCGAGAAATACGAACTCGTTGCGCTCGTGATATTGTCAGAAATACAAGGCACATAACGCGCGACGTATTCGCGGTCTTGGAATCAAATAGAAATATAATTGGAGATTCCAGAGGCCAAAATAAGATGAAAATCAAGAATATCAATTTTGCGACTGAGGCTTAAAAAGTTACTAAAAAATTGAATTAAAATATTTCAAATCATTCTGAAAAAATTATTTTCGGTTGCAGGGGTCCATTGCAATCATTTTTGGTGAATAGACATATCCCCGAATTCCTACGCACTTTCGAGAAAAAAATTCTTTACCGAAAATACAATGTCTGACCAATATCCGAGCATTTCCCCTGAAATTAAAAAAAAAATTTCAAATCGTTTTGAAAAAATTATTTTCCGTTGCTGGGGTTAATTGCAATCATGTTTGGTCAATAGACATACCCACGAAATCCTACCCACTTTCGAGAAAAAAATTCAGATAGGTGCATAATTTTTCGGGGGAAAAAAAAATTTCAAATCGTTCTGGAAAAATTATTTTCAGTTGCAGAGGTCAATTACAACCATTTTTAGTTATTATATATACTCCCGAAATCCTACGCATTTTCGAAAAAAAATTCCTTACCAATAATCTAATCTGAGGCCAGAAATGGTTCCTCGAAATTTCATAAAAATGGCATAACTTCTGAACGAATTGGGGGATTTTAATGTTTCAAACGGCAAACAACGCGCATTTTGGCAAAGAATATGCAGAAATTCTAAAAATATTGGAAAACTTGTTCCTTGACCGCGGAAAATGAGAAAAACTCCATAAAAATGGTTCAATTTTCAAACGGGCATAACTCCTGCAATGCTGCATATATTTCAATGAAATTTTTTTCTAAAGTAGAGCTCATGGGCATCTATAAAAAAGTATTAGACA